AGATATATAGCTGGGATATTATCAGCTTGCTGGTAAAATTTAATCCATGTTGAGAGGTGATCTCAGTCAGTCGTTTCATATAGATGTTAAAAAAGAACAGGGAGGGCACCAAGGCTTAAGGTATGCCTCAAAAGAGGGGCCATGACCTGGATCTCTTGTTCCCTGGACCACTTGGGACTGGCCTCAGAGGAAGGAGGTGAATTAGCACAAAACTGTTCCACCTACCCTCAATTTTCTAAGTTAGCCCAAAAAGGATTTCATGGTACTGAAAGCTACCGAGAGGTCAAGGAGAAGAAGGATGAATGCATCACCTCCACCTCCGCTTTTGCCATAGATTTTCCATACATGCGACCAATGCTGTTTGGGCCCGTATCGGGGCATAAAACTTGACTAAAAAGGATCCAGATAAACCATTTCCTCCAGAGTCCTCAGGAATTGCAACATCACCATCTTCTCAACCATATTTGATAGAAAGGTGAGAGACTTGGAGAAAATTGTCCAGCATGGTAGGGTCCAGCGATAGCTTCTTGAGTAGGGGGCACATCAGAGTCTCTTGAACGGAAGCCAGAAACACTCCTCTGACAAGGATGAATTCACCATCACTTGGACCCACCCACATGATACCTCCCAGGTGGTCTTAGTCAGGAGCGGCAGGATCTAATATGCAAGTACTGGCAATTGCATTCCACAGCATCCTATCCTCTTCCTCAGGTCCAACAGAATCAAATCATTCCCAGTTAACTGAGTAAGTCTGTTCCCTGAGCATCTCCATTGGACTTGCACTTTTTATTCAATTGTGAATGAATCCAAGCAATTTTATCCTCTAAATCAGTACTCAATCTTTTCTTCACCTCCTTTAAATACCTATGGAGCATGACCCCCAAGACTTAACTCAAGATTTAAATCATAACATTTCTTCAAGCTTTTGTCAACCCCCTGTGATGAAATTGTGTCCCACCCACACACCCCAGACGACCGTGGATCATAGGTTGAATTTCTGGAGCATCCTTCTCATAAGATATTATACCAAGGAGATTATTCTGCAGCATTTTTATTTTTATGTATGTATTTATATACTATTTTTATAAATAACTGAAGTTGGCAACTATACCTAATACTCTGGACTGTCAAAATTATGGAAACAGTTTGTATTTAAATTTAAGTGTGAATTCCATTAAAGTCACTTGGCTAGATAGATTCGCAAACGAATCCAGCATATTCTTCTAGAGCATTGCTACAATTCAGAATAGTATTGCGATATCTGCACCCTTTACAATAGTGGTGAACAATATTTTCAAGCCTGGGGTCTGCACTTAGTAGATAAGAAAGATGAGGGATGATGTGAAATAAGGGAGCAGTGATATTAAATGGGTGGATTTATTTACAAATGGGTTGCCAGGATTAACTTTTAAATTGCAGGTTGAGGGATATACAGTAAACGTGATATTTTGTTTTCTTATTTCAATACTTTCAGCTTTTTTAAGCTCACTTTATTGTGCTGCTCACTGAAAAACTGAGAAATTACAGTAACAGTTGGTAATTGCAGATTTCATTGCTGAAAGTGGGTAACAGGAACAGGGCAAAATCTGATAGTAGCGAAGCTATAAATCTTGTTTTAAAGCCTGGGAAAATAGAACTATTACTAATTTGATTTGTAGTAATATCAGCTGATGGTTCAAACACGAGTTCTGAATAATTTATTTTTTGATTCTACAGCATGATAAACATGCTTCTACAGCATGATTATATCTTAGTCATTTTTGGCATGTACCTCTTTGTGCTAGTATAAAAGTTTTTCATCAGCTTTTTGCAATTAACTGGCTGAAGATTAAGCATCCTTGAATCCTGTGACTTCATGGATATGTGCCTGATAGGAAAAAAAATGAAATTATTTTGTTTCACCAGAAGCATTCTGAAATAATTACTAAGAAGAGATTTTTGTTTTCTTATTAAAACTCTGAAACCAAAGTACCAAACTTACAGGTGAAACTTCATTTATAATATACTTTTTGCAGAATTCTTCACAATTAAGGACTTTCATGTCTTTTCAGCAAACAGCTTTCACTGAAATCCATGCAACTTTTTAGAAATTAATAATTTTTTCTGCTTTATTTCATTGTTTGAAACTTGAAATATTTGAACATACTGTACAGTTATATGATCAGTTATATGATCTTTGGATAGAGGTAATTGTTTGAGAAGAATTATCCAAAAGCCATATAAAATTCATTAAAAATATTATTGAATTATTTGGAATACTTATCTCTGTGAAACTGATTATAATAGAGCTGGAATTTGGAAACAGTAATGTACAAGCAGCACAACATTTTATAGGAATCTTTCCATTCTCTGATTCAGATATTGTTTTTTTTGTACTCTATTGGTCACATCAAAAAATGAAATGCAATGATTTGATATAAAGTGCTTATTAATTGTTTCCTAATTAATTTTAAATGTTGATCCTATTGCTGCTTATCCAACTTGGCTTCTTATAAGTACATTCTCTGTCTCATTTTTTAATGGTAGGAGCCTTTTACAACTTTCTTCCTCAATGCAAATGATGGTAAATTTGATCATCCAGATCGAACTTTTTCTTCAGTGGCAAGATCATGGAGAAATAGCCAACGAGACACTTCAGATGTCAAAGTAAGAAAAATATTTCCTATGTACAAGTAATTGGGTAGCTGTTAATATGCTACAAATGCAAAATGGGGGTGGGGAGGAGGGTTGTATAATACATACATAGAAAAGAAAGTTGTATTGGTATCATTTTTAAATGCCTCTTTTACATACAATGATGAATATACAACATTTGAGCTATTAAAAGATCTTTTGTTTTTGACAAAATAAATAAATAATCATATCCCAATTTATAATCAAATAATCACAGGATGGGGAAAAGCCCAATAAATTGTTCTTTCCTGCTGTTAACTCAATATTTGGCCCATTTCATAAGGGCAATAAGATTGGATGTGACCTTAAAGTGTTATATTGTTATAGCTTTTCTAGCATGAATTTTCCATCGCCTGGGGCAATTAATAAAGCATTAATGACAAGATAAATTTAAAATCTATGTTTTGTGTAAGCCTTAGCTTTTACCACATTGTGCCTCAGGATATTATGCAACAATACACATTAGTTTAAACTTATATCTACATAATACATGGAAACGACTAGAGAACAAGTATTACCATGCACTCATTCTTGCATAAATGGATTTTATAAGTTTTATTGTACTATGAAAACCATGTTTCTTGATTTATATTAAAAAATAGGGTCCTCTCCTGATTTTCAAGAGCCTGGAAATCTCATAAAAATATATACACGATTTTTTTTAAAAAAAATGATAACTAAATATCTTTATTCATTCAATTGTATCATTATTTGCTTGCTTGAAATCAGAAGATATGTTGAAATTGTTTATACTTATTGCAAATTGCTTTTAGTCTTGTTTGTTCTGATATATATTTTTAGAATTGTTTCTAAAGGCTCCTACAAAGTTAGGAACCTATTCAAACTAATGCTACATTATTTATGTATTGAATTTCTGTTCTGACTTAAGGAGGTAAGAATAAATGGTTGAACAAAAGAAAGGTAAACTCATAAAACTGTTACTAGGTTCTTTTATTGTTTGGATTCCATTGGAAATCTATGTCCTCCGATATATAAGTAGAATAACATGGAAGTGATGGTTTTTGACCTGCCATCACAAATAGCAATATGTACATTTAATGCACATATTTTCAAATGAAAAATAAACAACATACTTTGTGGTTCTATTGTATCAGTGAACTTTAAAATAGAAGAAGAATATGTGGAGGCTGAAATTCCTTTTGGGCTTCACATCTTGTGAAAACGGTGTTTGGCATGAAACTTTGATTTAATATCTCAATCCTTTCAGAAAGACAAAATGCAAGATTTTCTTATCAGGAGTGTTTGTTAGCCATCTATTTTTTTTCCACTAAGATTCACTCTAAATATATAAAGTAAATACTAACATGAAAGCATCCATCTAGTTTATTAAGACTGTTTACCCAGGCAAACACTTCATATAATATATTATTTTGATTACAAGTACTATAAACCTAGTTCTCTGATGATCTATGTATAAATCTTTAATACCTTTTTCAAACCTAATTTAACAATTCCAGAATACATAAAATTCTATTAAATTACTAAAAAAAATCACTATTAAATTTTGCTCTTTCCCCTTCTACATACACACACACACACTCTTTATTGGCTTTTGTTAACTGCCATAACCTTACAATCAACATTATGTTATTTGTATATGTTGAATAAATAAATGTCTAATGAATGTTAATCGTATAGCATTACTCATTTTTCCCTTAGTATTGATCAGGTGCCTTCATAAAGTAATCACTCAATAAAATAAAATATAATTACAATTAAAACTAATTAAACCACCCAATTAAAATTTAACTCCTTAACAGTTTTGAATATTGTGTATGAAACCATGTTTTTCATTAAACCAGGATAGTTTGATATCCTGATGTAAACTGAATGACCTGTTTGCCTTTTGCAAAACAGCATATTAAAGTTTGTTGCAGACTTCAGTTGTAGTATACTGACCTGATTCCCTTAAATTTCAAGACTAAGGTTACACCTACCCATTTTCGTACGAAACCATTGCATATGAAAAGCAGAAAATTACTTAGGAACAAAAGACGCATACTTCCCTAATTAATAAATTAGTATGATAGAGTACCCTGCATTAAGAAGTATAGTCTAAAATATACTTGTAAAGGTGCTTTATAGAGTAAAGAAACTGTAGTATGATGTTACTTTGGAAACATACCACACTAAAGTGCAAAAATATAATGTTCAGAAAATTAATTTTTGAATGCCTCTTAAACATATTATATTGCTCTTGGACTGTATAAATCAGAAAATGTTGCTAGAACAAGATGTCATTAAGGTGACATATTGTAAATTAATAAAAGTAGTGGACATTCTTATAACTGAATGATACTCCCATCAGCCAAGGTGATTATTAAAATAATGGTTACCAGGGGATCAACTTGAGTACAGGAAAGAAAAGAATAAAGATGGAAGCCTGAAAATTTAATGGAAATATATTCAGGGAAAATATCTGCTTTGATTTCTACACATAAAATGGCCTAGTTTTTCATAGATTGAATGAATCCCAAATTTATGAATCAGAAAATGTACTTGGGCATTTCCTCCCTCTAATTCAAAGACATAAGATACAGGTAACACTATTAATAGTATCTTTGGGTTGTAACATAGTTGGTAAAACAAACTAGAGAACATAAACTTGATCATATAAAGTTGGACATTTGATAAATAAAATATGAATAAATGAATAAAGTAAAATTTATTTAATGACATAAAATCTATTAGAATATATTATAATTTTAAGACTCCTTTGAATCTTTGTAATTCTTTAATAAAAAAACTCACTTGAAAAGTAGCTGCTTATTAAACATTACAAATTTTCATTATCTTACTACATAGTAGAAGAAAGGTAACAACTTAAAACATCAGATTATTATTGGGTTTATTTATTTTAGAAGCTTCTACAATTTTCCAAATCAAATTCAAAATGATAAGAAAGCAAAACACTATATAATATGTTATATACTACAGAACAGAATACCAACAAAAAACCCCACATTAATGCTTTATAAGAAGCCAAGAAATAACAGGAAGGTTCCTTAGAAAAATAGACATAGAAGCTTATTTTCAGGAATGTATACTGTTCTGTTAACCATGTAAAATATGAAAGGCTATTGTTAAGAAATTGTTAATCCAATTTTGAATCCACAAGTATTCTGATTGTCTGTGTGTGCCACATTTTAAGAAAGATACACTAAAAGTGGAACTTGTGCAAGAGAAGGATGGTATGGATGATCGGGGGATTAAAAACCAATTTCTCTGAAGAGAGGACTGCAGGAATTCACATGTTTAGCCTGAAAACTGGGGAGATCTAGCATTTTTTAAAATATCAAATATTGTATTAAAAATATCACTTGAAATATAAAACATGGAATAATGTTTTATATTTCAGGAATGCAAATTCTATTTGAATGTTAGAATTAGCTTCCAATAGTCAAAATAGTCTGATAGTCATAGATAATTTCCAAGTGAAAGCTGGACAACCATGTGTTGTGAAACAGAAAATAGTTCAAAATGGAATGGAATATGTTTTAAATTCCAGACTCTGACAGGGAAGATTCAAAAATACCGTATTTCTCCAAAAATAAGACAGTGACTTATTTTCTTTTGACCTCCCAAAATAAGCACTTGGCCTTATTTTCGGGGATGTCTTATTATTTTTGAAGTGCAGAGGTGGCGAGCGTGGTCACCTTGTGCCTGCTGCTGTGATGCAATATTTTTGGGGAGGTCTTATTTTCAGGGGAGGGCTTATTTTAGCACATGCACTCAAAAGCCCAATTTGTCTTATTATCCAGGGAGGTCTTATTTTTGGGGAAACAGGGTATAATTGACTGAAATGTCTGTTCTGATAGATTAGGAGATGCTGCTGATGATGTTCAGGTTTCTTGGATTCATCAACTTCACATACAATATCCACATAAGCCAAAGATTCCCCAAATACCAGTAGTGCCTATAAAATTGTCAGTCTTTGGGGATGAATTGGAACTCAGAGCAAGGGAAGAAGGTTTGTCCATTCTTGCCTTCCCTCTTTCATCTCAGCCTGGAGCTTGGACAGTGAATGCATGCTTCAGCACTTAATATTTATATTTATGTTTATACCTTTGAGATAACGGAAAGGTCTTTTCTATCCTCCCCTGGCATTGGATTTTGAGAATGGGGATTGTGATTTAAACGAATTACTAGCCCATTTTATAGAATTTTTTTTTACTAACTAGGATTGTTTTTTGTTAAAGAAGAGAGAGTTGAATGCTTTACTAAAGCCACTACAAAAAAAATGAGATAGGGTTTGTTATGCATGATTAGTTATTGAATAACCCCATGATGTTTCCTATTAAACCAGTGCTCTCCAACCTTTTGGGCAACAGAGACAGGCTCTGAGATGTGGTTTTGTGTGCTGCCTACATCCCATGGATGGGGCTTCACTTGTTTGCACGGTCCGGTTTCTGACATTTCTAAATCTCACAATCTGGTTGCATAATGAACATTTTTGTTTTGTCTGATAATAAGGGGAAATTGTTTAGTATGTAGTTATAGAAGGCCTCTTTTTTCTCCTTTTGAAAGTTAAGAAAATGATTTCACAGTTCCCTAGAACTGTGCCCACCATTCAAGACTCTGGTAGACCGGAACATAATATTTTAATCCGTTAAGAGAAAAATTACTAAGATGTTTTAAAAATACAAATGTAATGTAGTAAGCAATGTAAAAAAGTTGAACTTCAAAATTAAATGCAACAATGTAAGATTTCTTGAATAATTTTGTCTGTGCAAAAAACTACAGATTTGCATGATGAATAATAAAGCTTGTTTCTTTTGTAAACAGGAACTAATTCCAGAGTTTTACTACCTGCCAGAAATGTTTGTCAACAGTAATGGATATAATTTTGGAGCCAGAGAAGATGAAACTATTGTGAATGATGTTGAGCTTCCCCCTTGGGCCAAGAAGCCTGAAGACTTTGTCCGCATCAATCGAATGGTAAAAGATTTTTTTTTTAATCAAGCTTGCTAACAAGTCCATGCAATGTATCATCTAATATAGTCTTATTTTTATTCACTATAAAGCAACGACATAAAATATAAGAAAAATATAAGAAAAGAAAACACACACACAGGAATTATTTGATTGCAACTATCCTGTATTACTGGGCTTTATGCTATGATTTTCATTGGAATTTTCTTCATGGAGGTTTATGATAAAACCATAATTTCCTTGATAAATGTAATTATTTTGTTCAACCTGATAAAGGTTCTTGCAGTCCCCAATAAAAATGCCATTGATTTCCTAAAATAAAAGATAAGTACAACAAATATTATGGGCTAGGATTAGTATAGAAAAATATTAACTTTTTATGCACACATATCTAATTCAGACTCAGTTTAATCAACAAATGAAACAATTATATCTCAAAATCCATATTTTTCAGAATATTGTGACAAAACCTAATCAAAGCAATGCACAGAAAAATATATTTATCAGAAAAGTTACATTAGGAAAAAAATGGAAAAAGTGCCAATACAAATATTACATTTGGAAAAGCATGCATAGATTCAGAAATAAAATGGCTCAGATGCCTTCCCTGTGTATATGTGTGCGCATGCAGCTGGTTCTCTGGCGTTTCAAGCTGAATTGTTCTCTGTATATTAACATGTACACATAAAATTATATATTTTTCATCTTAAGAGTACCACAAGACTTGGTTGTTTTTGCTGAAAAAAATTAATACACCTCTGGAAACTTTTTTATGATATAATATTATTTGCTATCTATGTTATCATAAATAATAATACAATACAATAGCAGAGTTGGAAGGGACCTTGGAAGTCTTTTAATCCAACTCCTTGCCTAGGCAGAAAACCTTATACCATTTCAGACAAATGGCTATCCAACATCTTCTTAAAGACTTCCAGTGTTGGGGCATTCACAACTTCTGGAGGCAAACTGTTCCACTGATTAATTGATTAATTGTTCTGTCATGAAATTTCTCCTCAGTTCTAAGTTGCTTCTCTCTTTGATTAGTTTCCACCCATTGCTTCTTTATTCTACACTCAG